GGTGATTTTGCTGAAATTGGCAGCAAAAATAAACAATCAAGCAGCCAAGGACGACAGTATTAGAAGAAACAAAATCTCTCACTTATATTATTTATCCTTAAATAAAAGGATATATAGTCTCCTATTTTAACTTTACTCTCCTATTTTAACCATTGTTTTAAAACCTGGCCAGCTCGGTCAGTTGAACCGGAACCCGAGGCTTTCACCGGGCCAGATTACTTGTTTCATTATTCACCAAAAATCTTAAAAATTAGGATGATGATCAACGAATAATTAAAGGCCGAGATGTTGGGACTTTTGAAGAGAAAGTGTCAATGAGTGCAATGGTGGCGAAGGTGTTGATTTTCGGTGAGTGAATCAAACGGAAATCGAAAAAAATAGGTGGCAGCAACAGCCGACTTTTGCTAGCTATTGGCGAGGCAAACGAGGGTGGGGCAACGTGGGTTTTGGTCTGGAGGCAAAATGAAGTATTTTCGGGGTGATGGGAAAGGTTGTCGATGTCGACATCAGTGGGATCTAACCTGGAATGTCAATGTTGGTGTTGGTGAGATATGGTCAAAATTGAACCGATTTTGGCCAGATCTTGTGTAGATTTTCTAAGGAATGGGTTCAAGGGATGATTGAGATTGTATTTGGGGTGTCATTGCCACCAACCAGTAAGTCGTCAATTTGTATTTGGTGTGTGTTGGCTAAATTTCAAACCTGTAGGGATTTAACAACTTTTTAGGGGTGTATTTACCGAATTTCAAAATTTTTGTCACCCGATTTGACCGGCCGGTCAAACCGAGACTCAACAACTTTGCCGGGTTGCATCCTTAGTTGGGTTTTAAAACATTGATTTTAACTCAAAATAAAATCCTAATTAAGAAGAACAAATATTCCCAAAAACCTATCTCCTAAAACAGATATTTTCATAAAATTGAAACACTTTAAGAGATCTCGCATACTCGCTACGGCGGACTTATTTCTATGCTACGACCTCAAGCTGCAACCTCCATTCTTCTTCTTCCAATGCTGCAGCTCTTCCATTCTTCCACCATGACCATATTTGCAGTTACAAAAATAGGTTCAACCTTCAACAGGTTTTGAATGCACAGAATCAAAACAATAAGTTAATTTTAACTACACAGTGAAAACTCCAGAAAAGGACTCTTGAAGTGCTTAAATTTCCAACCCTTTTTTTTTTTCAATGACGTAAATGTTGCTTCCTAACACAAACATTCACCAGAATTATTAATATAATATATTGGGGTGGCGAGGCTATATTTTATATGCTGCTAATAGTCTTGATTATGTCATAACTCAATTTTCTGGAAAAATTAATATATAAGGCTGTGGATTACACGAGCCAATAGATTCAAGGCAAGATACCAAAGGATTTGTTTACTTCTAATTGAGATTCTTCCACTTAAATACATATATTTAGTCATACTTACAAGGAGTGGTCAATGGAGTTTATTTTTAATGCTGTCGGGCATGAGCAGGTGAAGTATGAGAGAACATCTGATGTGGGATCATGTTGGAGATACCATCTCAGCCTTTTGGAAGATTAATTATCAGATGAGCTAGGAAGTGATGACCAGATGAATTAAGGCAGAGTTGACATGGAATAGTTCAAAGTCTGTTTATTAATTCTGCAGAAATGGAGCTTTCAAACAGTCACATCTTACAATATTCTACATACAAGTGCAGCCTTCACTTGTGGAGCCTTAATTTCTTCTCTTCATCAAACTTGATGGTTTGATACATCCGCCCAAGCATAACGCATTATTGCTTTCCAGGTCAAAACTTTATATGAAATAAATATATATATGTGTGTCGTTTATCTGTTAATCACGTTCATTATCCTCGATTTCATTATCAAAGAAAATAATTTACAACTTTCTACTAGGTCGAAATATTAATTTTTAAGCATGAATCGATGACTATTACCTTCCTCAGAACTATAGTAGAAAATTTGCTTATATCATATACAATAAAGGTAAGTGTACAACTCACAACTTGTTTTCAATCAGATAACATCAGCTGATTGAATCAAAGGGAAGATACCAGAAGGATTCATAATCCACAGAACCTGTTAAATATAGAATCAAAGAAGATTCATTGACTTTTTGAGCTGTATCTAAAGATTCGGAGATTAATATTATTGCTTTAAAAAAAAAAAAAAAACTACATAGAAAAACATTAATGTTGCTATCAAATGGACAGGAGGCAAAGATTTAATGTGTGTAGAGTTTTATCAAAACCAGAAACAGAGGTGTCAATGATGTCATTAAACATTGCACGCGAGCAGAGTTTTGAGTTGGTAAGCTAGCTACAATGGATGCTGTAAAAAAAGTACATAGAAAAAATTTAGTGTTGCAAGCTGGGTATTTTTACGAGGAAGAGACTTATTCTTGTTCTGCGGATTCACAGTCTTGATTGGTGTACCAAAAACTAGATTAATGGTGGATACTAGAGTCAATGGCTGCTAAATGAAATCAAATTATCAAGGATTTTATGAAGTTGAAGATGGTGAATTGAATATAACTCTCTTTTTATTCGACATCCAAAATCACATTGATTACCGCTAGTTGGTGTTGAAAGATAAAAAAATCAGGATATCAACACCTGATTCATTGAATATAAGCATCACACAAGATTCCAAATAACAACTTAAAAGTTTCATACTTCTTGTGTATGACTAACATACTTTCATGATTTTCTGACATGAAGAATCTGGCCATTAAGGTTGCCTGTTGCCATTAACATCCACTGATAAACTGTAATTCTAAGTAATGTCTATCATATCTTTCTTTAGATGATCTGAATCTTTGGTTCTTGGAGGTCATTGGTCATTCGAAATTTGCCAGCTTGTGCTACAAACACTGGAGCCAGAAGAACTAGGAAGTTATGCATTGCACAACTTCTGATTCCAGCACTAATTGCAAAAGCCACCAACATAACCTTTGAGGGCTTGAATTAGCGTGACATACCATATAATATTAATGGGAATTCTGAATATTTATTAGTCTTTCAATGCATTGAATTATTTAAAAGTGCTGCAGGTTTTTGCAGTGACATCGCCTCCATGTGAACCTTCAATGATTAGTGACTTGAGTTTTCTATCATGTTCAAGAGTGCCCATTGGAGTTTCAGGATTATCAAATCGATTCGAACCAAAACAAGTGTCATCACAAAACTGGTTAAGGTCACAATAATATATAAAAAGAGCCATTGCATAATATGAATATTGAACATGAAAGCTGCTGGTTACACTCAGAATGAGAACCTTGAAGTACTAGATTTTGAGTTTTTAATTGGAAGGATTACATAATAGATGACATAATCTTCCTCTGCACAATCTCGAAATCCTTACAAACCATCACAGCTTTCCTCGGATGCTTCCCTGCAGAAAACGCGCACCAACTGCCAGCATTATTATTTGTTAATCTCTTCTAATTTCAGAATTGTCGGCTAAATTTAAACTTATTTATTATAAAGAATTGCACCCAAATCAAGTAATTGTTCCCAGGTTGGTTATCAGTAATTCATTTCATTTTCTTGATGAAAATGCAAGCTACTGAACTTGATGTATTCTTCACAATGAGGTCCTCAAGTCTAATTGACAGACAGTTTCCTCAAACGATTCAAGATTTCCGCATCGAAATCTTAACTGTAAATTTGCTATCCTTGTATTTGAGTTGCCAAATTCCTGCAAAATCTATCAGTTGAACCATAACCATACATTCTGTTTCATCAGAACTCAGAAGCTGCGTAAAATGTACTCAACCAACTCCACTGTAATAATTTGTGCTTCTGTTTGATTGTGTTTCTGGAGCGCATGTTGTATGAGAACATAAAACTTTGTTTTCAATAAGGATTATTTTTTTAATTGAAAACAATACGTAAGAGGTGACATCAAACCTGTCTTTCTCAGTGCTTCCCTTGAAGAAAATTCATAATCCAGTCAATCTCTTGAATATTATAAACCATTATGTGAGTTAGGATATTGTCAGCTAAATGAAACTTTGATCAAAAAAGTTAAATAAAATATCAAATCAAGGTCCATACATGATGATATAAAGGAACAATACTTTCTTTTTATAACAAGAAGTTGAAAAAAAAAAAAAAAAAAAGCACATAGACATATGTGTACTTGAGTGTCATCACTCCTTGTGGTCTACAGAAATTCCCATTACAATAATGCAGCCTTGGATCATTAGAAGATTATGCAACATTATACCTGCAACATGAAATAAAAAGCTCTAAGATTGCTTTTAAATAATTAGTTATGTTCATTTATTGGTAGTCAGATTGCAAAACTCAGAAGCCAACTAATCCACAAGAGGGTCTACACAGTAAACACTTTAAAGTTTATTAATGAACTTGCTTATCATGTTCTGCCATTATTGAAACTTTATAATAGTCCATGGAATATTACTTATACTGATTTTTATTCAAGGCCTGCAAATCTTATACCTAAACTACAGATTCTCAACAGATCAGCAAGCACCAAGTTATTCATCGAGTCGCCGCATAGAACCTGACTACTGAACTAAGCATATGTCAGGACCACATACATATAGCTGGAAGTCAATATTCTGAAAATAAAAACGAGTAGCTGCATACAAATAGGGACGCAGTACCGTATCAGTAAAATAATCAAATAGGAGTTGCTCACATGCCTTGTTGCTTAAGATTCCGGAGTTGGAATTCTTATCATAATCAGGTTTCAGGGTCATCAGTTAATAAAATATCAATATACACATCACACATCTTTTGAAGCTAACAATATGATATAATTTCAGAAATTAAGACTGTAGTTTATTAAGTCATCACAAGTTACAACTATACTTTGGTCTCCCAATTATGGTGCCAGCAAGTAACAATGCTTTAATTCTAAGTCAAATATATAATATATAGTTATATATGATGCAAGTACATAAATATTATGTAGATATATACTAATCCTATCTAGCTTAAAAGTCACATATCAATTAACAAATGAATCAAACACTTCAAAGGCCCAACCTCAAGTCTAGAGTGAGGCTTGAAGAATAAGAAGAAGAGGCAGAATCATCTTCAACTGGGGCAGGCAAATTGAGGTCCAGAAGATTATTAAGGCCTTGATTTTGTGATGGATCATCACATTTCTCCCAGTGACACCTCTTGTGTCCACCAAGTGCCTGTCCACTTGAAAACACCCTCAAACAAATACTACACTGGTGCCCCAAATACATCATCATCTTCTTGTCTTCATCCTCCACAATTTGATCCTGATCGATCTCGCATCCATCGCTTCTTGTTATGGCAAAACACCCCTTCACATTCTTATGGCTAGCCCTGTGTCCTCCTAGGGCCTGGTGGGAACCGAACACTTTCTTGCAACTATTGCATTCGAACCTTGTGCAACTCAAACTCCCCATGTTGACATCATTGTCTTGAAGAAGAAGCACCTGTGAAGGACTGGAAGTACCACATTGATCACCCTGGTCACCATTAGCCAACATCAAAAGACATGCTGCAACCTCATGGTCAGCCACTGTCATTGTGCTCAAACCGTTGCTTATGTCTCTAACCGGTGAAACTGGCCTGCGAAAATTCGGGGGAGGGTTAATGCCCCGCCACTGGCGCTCAGGGTGGCACCTCATGTGCCCAAAAAGTGCCTTCCAGGACCAAAACTTCTTGCCACACTCACTGCAAGGCCTGGTGATATGTGGTGCACCAGGGTCAGGTTTCTTGGCATATTTTGGCCTAGAAACACTAGTGGAACAAGATGGAATAGAACTGGGATCAATCTTGATCATTTTGGACCGTTTTTTGCGGGGATTTTGATGGTAGTTGGCATCAGGACTAGGAGAAGAAGCAAAGTTTGTGATGATCTGGTGGGATGGAGAAGATGAGAAGAGAAATTCGGGGTCGGAAACTGTGTTGTTGGTCATCACTGAGAGTGAAAATTTTGTAAAAAGAGAAAAAAAAAAAATGTAACAAATGATGGGAGTGTTGCTTTTGTAGTTTGAGCGGTTATTTGTTTCAGATGAGACACAAAAGGCTTTTGAAATGGGCAGTTTTTTTCAGTTGGTGCATTGTGATGGTTATCCATAAGAATTAGATCAGGTTCAGGGGTAATATTACAGGGTGTAAAAGGGTTTAATGGTAATTAATGTGGAAGACAATAGTGGAGCTATATGCATGCACCCACTAATCTATTCATTGTACCAATAAATGGAATTACTAAACAGGACAAATAATTTAATTAACCAAAAGACAAGTTGTGAAGAGGCATGTCTTTTGGTTAATTACTTGAAACGTGGAGATTTCCTGAAGTTTAGGACAACAGGGTCATTGTTTGTTGCTTTCATTTTGGGAAGGTAATGGGTAGCAAAATGTGATTGAAAGATACCCACTACTTCTCCAAGTAGCACACACATGCTAGAATGTTAAAAGGTCACTCTGTAACCCATAGAAAATTGCTTTTCAGCTTGTGATTTTTGAGGCTGATAGAAACCTGTAACTTGGAAATCATTTCATTGTTATCACTCTTTGCTTTGTTTGGCAAGAGAATGTGCCATTGAACCCAAATGATCATCTTCCTCGTTGTATATCAAGGGCTTGGAGTTAAGCAACTTACAAATGAGAGCAAATATCCACATCAAACTTCCTGTAAAATTTGGATAGCTACTAATACAAACCTATTATTCTTGAGCCAGCACTATATCAAGATAAAAAGTAACTTACTAAAAGATAGAAAGAACAATGATCACAATTCTTTACCAAATCCTTTTCAGCCAAATTTCTCGATTGCTTTTGCAAACACTTAAACGAATAATATATTTGTTAATAATAAACCAAAAAACTATACATATGAAGAGAATCCCTAGCAAAAGTTTGGCAATATGAAAACAGAAAACTAATACAACAGGGAAATTTAAACAGAATGGCTAGAATTAGTAAAGCTGAGCAATTGATCATTTTAGCACTATATGACAGTCAACAAAGTTGGAACTCGATAATGTCAACAGCTTTTGACAATAGTGAGGAAAATAAGTCCCAGGTAGAATATTACAGTGAATAAAGCCAACTTGAGAGAAGACAACCACCACATAAAATACAGGGAAAAACATGAATCAGTGAGTGCATTCGGCCTTGACAAGAATGATGAAAACACTGTCTCATCTTCATGGTCTTTTACTTGCTTGGCTGGTCTGAATGTGTCAATGGTTCTCTCAGATTCTTGATAGATTTTCCTAACACATTCAACATTGCAACACGGTTGACTTCTTTTGCTGCAATAATGCAAAAAGAAATGAGCAAAACTTGTATTGCTTTCTGTTGTCTCAGATTACTGAAAGGTAGCAGAGGATATATGGGATGGATATGCACAATACGGACAATAGCAAAACCGTGTCTATAATCAAAGCAATCAGACAAACATGTCAGTTGACAAAATTGCACATTATTTTAGATCTCCCACTAAAAGTTATGCAAGAACATGAGTCATACATCTAGAACTTAACTACAAAAACCATACATAAACACCAATTTTCATCCAATAATTTCAAATCAGGAGAGATTCTTTAAGCACACCATTCCAAATTTTTTTTTATATATATATAAAAAAAAATAAAAAAAAATAAAAAAAGGAAGAAGGGAAGAGGGAAGAATAAGAAAAAGGGGGGGGGGGGGGGGGGGGGGGGGGGGGGGGGGGGGCGCGGGGGCTGTGGAGGAATCACCTTCCTCCAATGAAAGCTGAATTGATCTCTTTTCCAGTTCAACAGCATGCCTGCTAAGTTCAACCGAGGAAAGTGACCGAAGCACTTGTGAAATCACAGAAACCAATTTGTATATCAGTGTTATAAAACTTTAACAGAAGCAAAATAGAGCAAAATAAGTTGGCTTTTGCAAAATAACAACATACTCTGCACATATTCCTCTTGATCTGATTGGTCCAATTTCTTCAACAGCATCTGTAATTGATGATAACGTTCTTCCCAGAGCATATTTTTTATTTGCCTTGGATCATCCAAGAGGGAAGCAGAACCAATAGGATGATAATTGGATTCTGCCGGAGATTTCATAACAGACCTCCCAAGTTGAGGAACTGATGGTTTTCCAGATGAGCTCATGAAGGAAGTCATTGGTAAAGGTGCAAATGCTGGAAAACAAGAAGCCTTTGGTTCCTTTATCTGGGGTTGTTGATGGATGCGGTCAGATTGACCAGCTTGCTTTGGGTGCATACAATCAGTACTAATGGTTGTGCTGTCAGACATGCTGATCTTTCCCAATTCTGTTTCAGATTTTCTACGAACATATACAAGATGCCCATTTGTAGCATTGCTGCTCAGTGATTGGTCTCTTGAGGGGCTTACTGGGGAATCATGTAATGGTCTCTTAGTGCCAGAAACCTTAATGGCATCATTAACAGGTCCTCTATCCTTTGAATATGGAGAATTTCCAGTAGCATTTGGCACCACGATTCTGTTTTCATTCTGCAGTTCTCTCAATGCTGTCTTCTTTACAGCAACTGGCTGTTGCTTATCACGAGTGGGCAAATTAGTTTCAGGACTACCCAGCCCATATTCATTGAACTTAGAATCTACTGTTTGTTGAACCATCTGATGTAATTTGATTTCTGCTAAAGAAGTTCAGAGAATCTGTAGTTACGTATGAGAGATTAAATCAATGGTAATCACAAGTGCATTTGCCACAAGCCACAAAGTACAGAAGTCAACTTCTATTCGTCAAATTCATGGTAAAATTAAAAAAAGCAGCACAAAGCAAAGATCATTAACTCATATTTACAACAAATTCAAACTCAAGTGATGCAAGAACTAAAAAATGATGATAAAATTCCAAAACATCACTAAGCAAATGACAAAAAATAATTATGAAAACACTTATGATTCACTGTTATTTCACCGTTTAGTGATCTTTCACTTGAATTCATTAAAATATAGCCAAAATAATTAAATAATAAATAAACAACACCCAGAATTGACAACATGAATTAATCAAAATTTTGAGACATGGGTTATGTAAATTGCGTGAAACAAGCAAGACCCATCAAACGCAAGCGCAGAAATTTAATAACAATCGAAAATTTATCAATTTAATAAAGATTTGCTGATGTATTATACTTAAAAATTTGCACAAAACAAGTAAAAGAAGTAGTAATTAAACAAATTAAAGTTAGAAGGAAGATAAGTAATGAAGAAAACATGGAATAACAGCAGAATGGGAAGCGGCATTACCTAGCTCAGCTCATTGAAACCGCTCAGACCGAAAGAGAGAGAGAGAGAGAGGGAGAGGGGTTCGTTTCAAAAGTAGGAAATATTGGCTCCTCTAGAAGTTATGTAAATTTCATTTAGTCCTTCATTCTTTTTTAATTGTTTTTTTAGTCCCTCAGTAAAGTTTAAAAACCCTATTTTTGGCGCAATTTGGAGAGGTTATTAAGATTTACTGTTTTTTATTCATTTATTGGCTACCTTTTTTTTTTTATCCTTTTATTATTGTTGTCATTTTTTATTTTTGGGAAGAAAATTAAAGGGCTCTAATCATCACTAAGTGATTGTTTTATACAAATAAAATAAGTTATATTTAGTATATTTTTTAGAATGTGAATAATAAGTTCATTTATTGAGTTTAAAAGAAATGTTCAAATTGTTTTACAAATAGAAACTTGTGTTATGGTATAAAGTCTAGTTAGAAAATTCGGCATATTATTCACGAATTGCCGCATTTTATCAGTTTAGTCGTATTATTCGCGAATTATATGTCTTAGCCGTATTATTTTCGTATTTTTTCCGTAACCAAATTTTTGTTGAATTTTTACAAACGTATTTTTCACCGTTTGCCGTATTATACCAATAAAATTCCAATACCATTTTTTTGCCGTACCCGTATATTTGAAATGCTGTATAGATTCTAACCAAATGGCCCATGAAAAGTGCTAAAATTAGATTGATATTGCTGTATTTTTCAAAACGTATTATTGATAATGTGTCGTATTAAACCCGTATATACATGTATCGTATTTTTTCCGTATCCAAATTTTATAACCAAATTTTTACAGACGTATTTTTCACCATTTATCATATCATACCCATAAAATTCCCGTATCCTTTTTTTTGTCATACCCGTATTTACTAACTAGGTAATATAACTAAGGATGTAAATTTCACATTACCACGTGATCTTATAACCAATGTTTTAAAACCCAACCTGGAGTGAAACCGGGCAAAGTTGCTGGGTCTCAAGTTGACTAGTTTGACCGCCAGTCAAACCAGCTAACAAAAACTTTTAAAATTAAAAAATACACATTTATTATTAAGTCCCTATAGGTTTGAAATTTAGCAGACACACCCCAAATACAAATCGACCGACGACTGGTTGGCAGTGGCGACACCCCAAATGCAGCCTCAATTGTCCCTTGTGCCCATTCTCCTGAAAATCTACCCAAGATCTGGCTGATATTGGTTCGATTTCGGCTAGATCTCATCAACGCTGGCATCCGCATTCCAAGGCAAATCTCATCGATGTCGGTGTCGACAACCCTCCCCATCACTCCGAAAATACTCCCCTCTTCCTCCTGACGAAAACCCACCTCGCCCCACCTCCGTTAGCCTAGCTAATCGTCAGTTGTCACCACTGCTAATTTTTTTGGATTTCTGATCGATTTGCTCATAAAAAATCAACTCTATTGCCACCATTGCACTCAGCAACACTTGCTCTTCAAAAGCCCCAACATCTTGGCCTTCAATTGTAAACTGATCATCATCCCAAATTCTAAGGTTTTGGATGAATAGGAAAAATGTAAACCTGGTTGGTGAAGCTTTCGAGTCTCGGTTGGGCCAAGTTGGGTTTTAAAACATTGCTTATAACACTTGTGATTAAATAATCAATGAGAGAAGATTTTTTTTTTTTTTTTTTTTTTTGTAACAGGGTATTCAGACTAGTTTGCACGCACTTTAACTAATTTCTAAGGTCCAACGAACACCTTACAAGCTTAAAAGACCAAGTAAATCACAAAGTGGTAGATGACCTCAAGGTTTAAACCTAAGACCTCAATAAAAGGAATAAACTTCCTTGACCGCTAAATCAACTTCTTAGGGTTAAGAGGGAGGGTTCTTCAACCTTCAACGTTCAGCAGTTTATGAAGAATTTATACAAATGGAAATCATATCAAATGATTTAATTCTTTATGGCCAAGAGTATAAAATGGTCCTCTTATTAAATGAAAGAAACAAACCTGTAATCACAATTCAACAAGACAAAGTCAATAGCCAAGGAATAAATCCACAAATATCCTTTAACTCATAAAAGGAGCAAGAAAAAAACTGTTTATGTACATAACACATTTCAAGGGAGGAAGCCGCCAAGGGTTAGGATGACGCTAAGGGATTTTCAGGTGCAAACATCGTCAAGTATGCACAAGTGTATAATCCACAAGTTTGCATCTCTATCACGGCATGCACCTGCCTGAAATAGAACCAGCAAGTGCCTGCTAACGGTTTGTCACTTGAGAAAACACCATGTTCAAATGTGTCTTTAATCAACTAAAAGACCATGAAACTTCACAATTTATTGCCCAGAATTTCCCAAAAGTCGCTCCACTGCAGCATGGACATTTCCTGAAGTAGCACGCAATGCCCTAATATTCTCTTGAGTGTCAAAGAAACCCATTTCTTGAAGCTGAGACAGTTGAGTAGCATACAGTTCTTCAGGGGGTACTACAAAAACGTGGATAAATTCAATGATGACCAAGAAATGCACAAGCATAATGAAGAAAATACACAGAATTCGATAAAAGGTAACTAAATTCTAACCATCAGGTTGGTTTGGAATGCTTGAGCCACCGACTCCAAGACCACTAAACATGTTCATCAGCATCTCCAGCTCGGTATTATTTGGCCCTGCCATCCAGGAGTATAAATGACATGTTTTATTTCAAGTGTTAAGATTAAAGTTAACGAAGAATAAAGGGTGAACTTGTTTTCTTAGGTACCTGTAGTGGCACCAGTCTGAGCTGGTTGCCTGAAACAAAGCGAACAACATATATTGAGTAATAAGGGTAACAACAATCAGTGCAACAGAAAACAACACCATTTTATGACTACCTAGTCAAACAAAATAGAAAAAGTTTAACTCACTGGGTTGATTGCTGTCGATTGACCTGCGATAGAATTGACTGTTGCATAGCCAACATTTGCTGCAAGAAGAACATAGAAATGAAAGGTCAGGCAAAGGCCACCAGAAACTTAACATCAGGATGGAATATTACAAAAATCAACCATCAAATCAGATAATAATGTGGAACCAATACATATTATGCGTATTAGTATGCTTAAGGATTTATTACTTAAACTAGACACCACAACCAAGAGACAATAACTACTGAAGAACTTACACCAAGCTTTTTAATATACCATATACACAAAATGAATCAATGTCTAATTGAATGGATTTGTCTGCACTAAATGTTAAAAGAAAGAGGGCACATCAATGCCAGGTGATTAAATCAACATACCTGCATTGTCTCAGGGGACGATAATTGATGAAGAAGATTTGGATTTTGCATAATTTCTCTCATTTGGTTATTCAAATTAAACATGCCACCTTGTTCGGAGTTAGGATTGAGAATCTAACATTCAAAGACAATTTTATTAGAAGCAAATAAAGCATATTATATATTTTTGATGATATAACAATTTTTGCTATTAACAGTACCTGATTCATATATTGTGGGTTGGAGAGAAGACTCTGCATCATCTGCGATATAGCTGGATTTTGCAACAACTGATTCAACTGAGAAATATCAGGCATACCACTAACCATCTGATCTGTACCAGGAAGAACAAGTCCTCCAAAACCACCCGTACCCAGTCCCATTGCATCAGCAGGATTTGACCCTGCAGTGGCATTTGTTTCCGTCCCTCCTGACATTTTGATAATGAAAAACCTAAATAATTATCATTGTAAACTCCAGATACTAATAATAGTTAGATGCATGGTAATAGAGACATGTCCCGCATGCTTAAAATAATGGGGTCTCAATAGAGTTAAGCTTACCACCAGAATTGCCCCAAGGGTTAGGAAGTGGGTTAGTATTTGGGGCAGTAAGCCCAGTAGCTGTTTCAGAACCAGTGGCAGGAGGGTTGTTAGAAACATCCCTGGGCTGTGCACCACCCTGGTTCCCCAAGAGAGCTGCAAATGGGTTTGACCTTGAATCATTTCCAGCATTTCCAGACAATGTTGTAGCATTTAGAAAAGGCTCCTGAACATTTTCATACATACGCCTAAGCATGTTAAATCCTTCAGGGGAAGATTCAATATTACTCATGGCCCTATCTGTGTTTCGCATCATCTCACGCATCAGTTCTGGGTTCCTTGCAGCTTCTAATGTCTGTTGAAGAATGCCAGGATCATTGAGTATATGCGCAAGCTCCGGGTTACGATCAACAATATCACGCATTTGAGGACTGTTCATAATCAAACTGCGCATTAGCTCAGGACTATTCATCAGGTTTTGGATGGGAGGCAAGTTCATCATTTCTGTAATCATGTTGGGGTCCTGCATAAGTTGCTGTCGCATTTGTTCCATCGCTGGGTTCCCAGGTCCCAGCAAGCCAGCAGGGTCATCCCCACCCAATGCATTTAATCCAAGTCCGGGAAATAAAGATTCCCCAAGACTGGCACCACCAAGACCCCCACTTCCATCAGAACCAACACCATGTGTAACACTTGGTGCAGTATTAGGAGTTTCAGCATTTGCACTAACAGCAGAGGAAACCGGAGTAGCTGGGGCAAAACCACGAACCAAGTGGACATTGTGATCAGCTTCCAAACCTTAAACAAAAAAAATATGTAAATAAAAATCAGTCACAAGAGAGAAGGGAAAAAAATAGTAATGTTCGAGCATGCCAAAACAGAATTTTTGCAATGTTAAAAAAGGCAGAAGCAAACCTTTAAAACACCATTTCATTTCAGTAAAAGATTATGAGCCCAACCAATAAAATGATACGTTTAAAATTGTAACAGTCGACAAAAAGGACCAAGAAAAACGGAAGGTAATAAGTAAGAAGCATTAACAATATGATAATTTGAAGCTTATAATCTACTTGCATTACGATTCACAGTGCTCATGAACAATTGGATAATTTTATGATTAACCTAATTATGAAAGAACTCATAGCTCAAATGAAACAACAACAATTCTACCCCATCCACATTCAATAAAAAAATTGTGGTATCATTATAAACATACCTACTAAATCGCGTACTTCAAATCAACTACAAATCTTCACATTTCTAACAATTCAACCAAAAACAGCAAACACTCTATAAACTTTATCCTAACATTGTCACACAAATTACAAATTCAAAACTGTTACATTACTAAAATGAAAGTGTGTACAATTTATATTTCTTTACTATCATATTTGACATAAAAATTGCATACCAATAAATAAATAAATCATATCAACCATGCCAAAAATCAAAACTCAAAAACAATAAGTAAATAAATAAAAGAAACAGACCATAGCTTTGAAGGGTTTGATCGTCCTTCAGAATGCGACCCTTATAAATCAAGCGTTGCTGAGCAGCTGGAACGTCACAATTCTTAGCCAAAACAGCTTTAAAAGCCTCCACCGTCGATTCAAGGCTCGTTCTCACAGTAAACTTTGAACCGTTGGCGCACCTGATATTTATCGCAACTCCGTCTCCCTCGCCACCACGAACTGAATCATTAGAATTCGAATTTGAATCCCCTTCTGGTCCCATTTTCTTTCTTCTTCCTTTTTTTTTTTTCCCGATTTTCTAATAAAACCCTAACCCTTAAAAAAAGGGGAAACTTTGTATAAATTTGTAGAAATTGAAGGATTCTGAGATATGGGAAAATTAAAAGAGAAAGAAAAGGGAAGTTATTATTGGTTTATTTATAGAAGAGAAGAGAACTTGGACATGAATTTTAAGGTTAGATCACGAAAGGTACGGTTTGATTTGTTGGGTTACTTCCTGTTGTGTCTTTGGTTTTAGCATACTTCTGTTTGTTTAAGGTTTTATCCTTTCCAATCAGATTTTGCCTCGTTATTTGAATTTCCCAACTACACAAAATTATTTTTAGGTGAAAAAAAATTAAATAAAAAAATAAGAGGACCGTTCGATTTGTCAATTTGACGTCTTGATTTCATTATATATATAGGATTTCTTTAAGATAATAAAAAACAAAAAAAATACCCTTTTTGAATTATCATTATTTCATTGTTTTTTAAAGTAATTTTATTTTAAAAATAATATTATCTTAAAAACTCTTTTTATAAACTGATTAATTCTAATGATGTGTGTTAATATAATTAGATAATTTAAAATTAATGATAAATATAGTAGATTAAAGAGGATGATATTCAATTACTTTGTTTAATTCATTTGTGCCTAACTTGTTGCTCAGGTTATACTGTTTACATAAAGTTTTAATAAATAGAATTACCTTATTTTATATAGAATTATAATCCTTTTCAAACTAGAACATTAATAAGGATTATGGTTAATACATTTTTTGTTTTTTGTTTTTTGTNACTGTGCAATATAGTTGCCCAAATTTATATTGCTTCCGTAAGGAACCCTTTTCGATAACTCATTTACCTATTAAATGAATCATCTGGACAATTCATATACATACTTTATTTTAAATGCATGACTGAATAAAGGAAGCAATTTACATATATGAATTGAAGAACTCTTTCTTCTATTATTTATGATATATATAGATACAAGACAAAATGCTCTGAAACTGACAACACGAATGGTTTCTAGGGCATACACTAATATACACTAACAGGGATCGACTATCACGAGACTTTTTCTCCCGTGGCCAAGATTGTCACCGTTCGGTGCCTCTTAGCCATAACAGCCATCAAGGGTTGGCACTTGCAGCAATTTGATGTTAATAATGCTTTCCTCCACAAGGATTTGGATGAAGATATATATATGGTAAAACCCCCCGGCTATACAAAGGGCCAACCTGGTCAGGTATGCAAACTTCTCAAGAGTCTCTATGGACTCAAGCAGGCTTCACGACAATGGCATGCCAAATTTTCCAATTCTCTCATTAACTATGGTTTTAAACAGTCCATTTCAGATTATAGTTTATTTACCATGGTGACTAAAGACTCCTTCACAGCTTTATTAGTATATGTTGATGACATTGTGGTTGCTTCCGACTCTCTTCCTTGCATTGAGTCTCTCAAGAATTTCCTGAACACTTGCTTCAAAGTTAAGGATTTAGGTCCTCTTCGATACTTTCTTGGACTTGAGGTAGCAAGATCCACCAAAGGCATTCACTTATGTCAGCGGAAATACACACCTAACATACTTTCAGACTCTGGCACTCTCGGCTCCAAACCTGCTAAACTACCTATGGATCAAAATCTCAAGCTAAGTGAAGACTCTGGTACTCCTCTTTCAGATCCTAGTCCTTTCAGGCGCCTCATTGGTCGGCTTATATACTTGACAATCACCAGGCCTGATATCAGTTATTCAGTCCAACTTCTCAGTCAGTTCATGTCTTAGCCAAGTGACCTTCACTTACACGCTGCACACAAAATCTTGAAGTATCTCAAAAGCAATCCAGGTCAGGGTCTTCTCCTCTCGGCTCACTCTCCAATTCAATTACATGGTTACCGCGATTCAGACTGGGCTTCATGCCCTGATACCCGAAAGTCCACAACTGGTTTCTGCATATTCATTGGACAGTCACTCATCTCCTGGAAATCCAAAAAGCAATCTGTGGTATCCCGTTCTTCTGCCGAGGCTGAGTACCGTGCTATGGCAGCAACTTATTGTGAGTTTACATGGATTCGCCAACTCTTTGATGACTTGCACATTCCACATCCTACCCCGGCCATCCTTCATTGTGATAATCAAGCAGCCTTACACATTGCTGCGAATCCAGTTTTCCACGAGCGTACCAAACACATAGAAGTGGATTGTCACATCATTCGCAACAAAATTCAAGAGGGCAGCATTGCCACTGCCCATGTTCCTAGCCACTCCCAGTTAGCTGACATTTTCACCAAAGCACTCTCCTCTAATGTGCTTAATACTCTTCTTTTCAAGATGGGAATAGTTAACCTCTATTCTCCATCTTCCAAGGGGGTATTGGATGATAATACTTTTTAGAATGAAGCCCATGTACAGCTGGACATCACCACTACTTCACCTAAGGGCTCTCGGCATTTTCTTGATGAAAACGGGTAGTGTTGATCTGCTGTGCATTCCTTTTTAGTTAGTTATTTTTTTGTTGCTGAGTTGTACAAATATTAGTGGTAGAGTTTGTTATTCTCTTTCTTCTAGAATCCTCTGTACATAAGGCATAAATACATGCTATTTGTGCCCATTTTTCACAAACAATGAGAATGAATCATTTCAGTTGACACTGGTGTTCCTTTCCCTGCTTTTCTCGTGCTCTGTTTTTCAACTGTAATATGTTGACAAGGTGATTGATTATTTTAATGTAATCATTCATGTGGTTGGTTGAACAATTCAATACCTCAAAGCCCTCAATATTTCTAAATAAAGATTCAATTCTCGTGCTTATTATTAGTTTTGGAATTTCCAGAATCCCATTTCCGAATCTTACGTCAAATAATTTGTTACTTGACCCCAACTTAAACTTGACTCCAGCCTGTTGAAGTTCCGTTATAGTAGGCGTGACTAAATTTTTAACAATTTGTTTGGATGTCTGATCTGGTGGCTGAAGACAAATTCTTATCAAATCAACAAAATGTTCTGCTTCATGGAAGTGATTTTCTAACGAGTCATCCTCTATCAAGAGATCTTCATACTTCCTGTTGGGTTTCAATCAAACTCAAACCTAATCGATTTCTCTATCAAACACAACTAACACACACACACACAACATGAATCAACCAAGGAAGAAAAATCAAGAACACATCGAAGTTTTTACCGTGGTTCGTTTATCCCAATGGAATAAACTACGTCCACTTTAAGCTCCAAGTAATTTGGGGCTCACTACACTATAAGGATCAAGTTCTTTACAAATTACAAATCAATCAACACTAAATAACCCAAATCTCTCACTCGCATAAAACCTTCAAACAACCCGTAATCGTAATCTCCACCTTAAAGCTTTAACACATCACCCGATCAAGAATCTTACCAGTGCAGTTCACCTACAAATCACCCATCATAGCTCGATTGTTGTAGCTCACTCAATATGCAGTAGGTTCAAGCAGTGCTTGAACTTGGCTGGAGAGACCACTTTTGTTCCCATATCTGCAGGGTTGTCCTCGGTTGACACCTTTTTCAGAATGATCACCCCTTTATCCACTAGTTCCCTCACAAAATGGTATTTGACATCAGCATGTTTAGTCCTTTCATGGTATACAGGATTCTTGCTCAAATATATGACACTTTGGCTATCTGAATAGACAGTGACTGCACCCTCAAGTAGTTGAACTTCTGGCAGCAGCCCTTGAAGCTGAAAAGCTTCTTTGAAAACATCTATCACAGCCACATACTCTACCTCAGTTGTGGACAAAGCAACGATTGGCTGAAGTTGGGACTTCCAGCTTACACAGTTTCCTCCCAAGGTGAACAAGTATGCAGTGGTAGATCTTCTTGAATCTTTGTCACCTGCAAAATCAGAATCTACAAAACCTACAAGATCAAGTGAGTCATATCTTTTTCCATATTCCAAGCCAACATGCAATGAACTATTAATGTATCTAAGCAGCCATTTAAGAGCAAGCCAATGTTCAAAGCCAGAGTTTGACATGAATCTACTTAAGTGGGAAATTGCAAAGGAAAGATCCGGTCTGGTGCTTATCATGGCATACATGACTGACCTAATTACACTTGCATAAGGGATGTTTTTTTTTTTAATTAAATCAGCATCAGTTTTGGGGCATTGTGATTTACTTAACATAAAGTGTCCAGCCAAGGGTACATTCACTATTTTGGATCCTGCCATGCCAAATTTAGACACTAACTTTTGCAAGTAAGGCTTCTAATGGACTTTTAGCTCATGGTTATTTCTATTTCTATCTATGACCATGCCTAAAATCCATTTAGCACATCCTAAATCCTTCATATCAAATTCAGAGTTTAATCTTTTCTTTAACTCTTTTATCCTAGACTTAGACTTGCAAATTAAAAGCATGTCATCAACATACAACAACAAATATAAATGTATGTCATCAGAGAGAGCATAATAAAAACAGCTATCATAATTATTTCTATTGAAGCCAATGATAAGAATGAATGCATCAAAACGCTTATACCACTGCCTGGGGGACTGTTTCAATCCATATCAGGATTTATGAAGAAGGCACACATGATTAGGCAGGTTCCTTTCTACAAAACCAATGGAATGTCTAATGTAAATCTTTTCTTCTAGGTTCCCATGCAAGAATGCATTCTTAACGTCAAGTTGTTCTAATTCTAAATCCTTATGGGCAACTATGGCTAACATGATCCTAATGGTCTTGTATTTCACAACATGGGAAAAAATTTCATTGAAATCTATTTCCTCCCGCTGTGTGTAGCCTTTGGCTACCAACCTAGCTTTATACCTAAGAGGGTCAAAAGAGTTTATACCTTCTTTAGGCTTGAATAACCATCTGCATTCAATCAATTTCTGGTCTTTGGGGTTATGAACAAAAGACCAGGTTCCATTTACCTTTAGGGACAACATTTCTTCCTTCATTGCAGCTTGCCATTTTTCTTTGTCTTTGGATCTGACTGCTTCATCATAGTAGTCTGGTTCTGTCCTTTGTAGTTGTGCCCTAGCCACTAGGGCTGTGTAGATGAGATCAACATATGATTATCTTGTTAGTGGCTTGATTTCTCTCCTGCTTCTATCCTTGGCCAGCTGGTATTGTGCTAAGAGGTCAGGATGGGGTTCATCAGGTTCTGCAGCATGTTCCTCTTCCAACTCAGGGTCCAAGTTTGATCAATTGGTTCAGCTTCCAATTGCTCCAAGTTAGGTTGAGGTGCAGCAGGCTCCACCTGTAATGTTCTTTCTAGCTAGTAGTTCTTTGGAAAAAATATAAGTAAAACTCACTAACATGTTATAGAAAATATATATGTATATAAGAACGCAATAGTGGGCCCAAAATAAATTTGACTTTATATACAAATCTCTACATCAAGTACCATACTCTAAAAAATAAATCAAAATACAGTCAGACAGTGTTGCCTTTCTCCTCCGCTACTTGACGTCCGATCCGACCGCATCTCATCTACTACCTGAAAAAACAGTGAAATTAACGGGGTGAGCACTAATTGCTCAGTAAGTAAACCCATAATACTTCTATTCTTTCTCTGTTACTCAGATCCTGGATTTTCTTTCCTTACACCAAACTTCTCAATTCTTCTATCCCCTTTATAAGATTCTAGATTCTCACTTATCGAATGTAAGCACAAATAGGGAAACTAACTCGGGATAGTAGAAATGGGATGATGCATATGCACAAATGCATAAACTTTTTCTAGGCATTGGATTTTCTTTTCTATTTTTCTGTTTTCTTTCTTTTTCTGTTTCTCTTCTTCTTTTCCATTTCTCTTCTTTCTTTTTTGCTTCTATTATTTCTTTTATGTTTCTCTTCTTTCTTTTCTGTTTTTCTTGCTTTTCTATTGTTTCTTTCTTTTCTATTATTTTCTTTCTTTTCTTTTCTTTTCTATTCTTTCTTTTCTTTTCTATTCTTGTTTGCCGATCGGACTCGGTTGAGGCATGGATTCAGAACCCTAACCGTGTGAGTGGGTACAGTCCTCATCTACATGCACTTCTAACGGAGTGTACAAATTCTTCTCTCTTATTCTGAGGCCGCTCACTAAAAGTGGTGTGCATGTAGGTATGCTTTGCTGGGTACAGTCTTCATCCACATGCACTTCTAACGGACTATACAAATTCTTCTTTCTTATTCTGAGGCCACTCACTAAAGGCAGCGTGCATGTGGGCTATTCTTCTTCTCGGTCACTCACGGGTTCCCCATCGCAACAACCTTCTCTTCTGTTCTCTTTTTACATTTCTTTAAATAAAATTTCAGATTTGAACTTCTTTAATTATATTCTTTAGAGGATGATTCTACAATTTATTTCTTTTCTTTCTTTCTCTTTATTCTTTAATGTTCTCATACATGTGTATGTGCATGGAAATATGCTTATTCTTTGCTATTCTTTCTAAATGCTAATGTGAGAATGTGAGAATGCATTATGACATAAAAAGATATTATTAGGGAACTAGTATTCTCTACCAACAATATTCCCATACTTGAAATCAATCATAGATTATTAGACTAAAAATAAACTAATAAATTAGAAACACTTTTGAGGTAGTTATTCTGCACAGGTTATATTCAAGGAGGCATATCTCGAGTTATACACATCGGATTGCTATGATCTTGGTCTCATTTTAAAGCTTAGAGAAAGGACTACAACTTTTATGTAGGTCTAAACCCAGTTCGATATGTAAGATGCTCAAAAATCACTCAGAAGGCCATGGATTTGACAGGGCAACCATGGTAACATGTTTTCTCTTAGGATTTTCATCAAACAATTCATATGCACATGCAAATACTAGGTTGGCTACACTACCACATCTTTCTCAAGCTACCAAAATAGGAGTAAGAACTCCGCAAAGCCAACAATCAACCTAGCTGAAATTCATCCTCCACCTTTCCACATCCATACTTTCATTTTTCATCCAAAATTCCATCAACTCAACACATACAAATACATCAATTCTCATCACATATTAATAAATCAATTCTCATCCCATACTAATAAATCAATTCTCTACACATACTAATGAATCAATTTTTCATCACATACTACTAATTCACTTCCCATCATATACTAATAAATTACTTCTCATGGTCATGAAATTCACATATCAAACAACCTCAATTTTCAATCCATAATTTCTCATCATCCAAACACACATACAACATAAAATAAATTTCTCTACACAACTTGTGATTAAATCAAGGCTAAAGTTGGATTTACTTACCTTGAATTTAAGCAACTCCAACACTATAATCTCTCTTTGGTAGAATTCCCTTTCCTCTTAAACCCTAAGCATATACAACCATAAGAATTCAAAACTTTAAAATTTAATCTCACTTCTTGGTGCAAGAATCTTACCTTTGGATGCTTAG